TGCCCCTGCGTAAGCAGGAACTGCGAAAACGGCTAAGAAAAAAAACTTGACTGTCTCTTCTTCCATTCTTCTAACATCATTGGATATCAGATCAAATAAGTGTCCTGCAGTGAATTTCAGTAACGTTTGCTTGCTGAGTAGAAGCGTCTGAAAGAGAGTACAGAATAACATTAAAGGGGAAGTTTGTTCCAAAACCTGTACGGTTTTAAGCTCCGCCACAAAAGATATCCATTACCGCCCTTCGAGACGAGAATCTTCGAGCCTTTACTAAATCATATTTAACTATGTCAAAAATGAGACAGCTCAGGCGCCATTTTGATGGTCGCTCAGCGGGGCGGTCGTTTACTTGTGACGTACGAACGAAACATTCTTCTTTTTTCATCTTGAGGCGATCCACTTGAACAAGAAGGAGCTACACAAAAAGGCATTCTTGATTCAAATAATTCTTTAAGGTTATAGCCATATAAGAAACTTTTTTTAAGACTGGCAAAGGAGATCATGGCGAATGATCGGCGCATTTGAAAAAATGTTTTGAATGATTAGGTTAGTCTTTGAAGGCTCAAAAGTCGCAAGACGTCACTATTCTGAAGATACTTCGTCTGTTACTTTGTTTGGTCGTTGGTGGGTAGGATTGCTTGAGTTCTACTAAGTTCTCTCGTAAAGGCAGCACACAGTTTTAATGTTCAATGTACCTCTTCTTCTGGGTCTCCCAATAGCCTAAGTTGATTGCAATTGGATAAGGTTTCTTGAAAAAAGAAATTATATAAAAAAGCATATAATACTCTTTAGGATCGAGCCTACCTTGTGGTACACCATTCCCCTCAGGGCGCTGCCTATTTTGATCCCCAATATTTCACATTTGTGGTCTGACTGGTGCGCATTAAGACCACCGATCAAACCATTGAGACACAAAGCCAATGCACAGGCGTAGATCATGTAAGTATTCTCTGCCTCAGCTGACATAAGACAAGAAACGAGATACCCGAGAAACAGTGGAAAGAGAAGGCAACTTAGTAAATGCATTATATTCCCCGTCAAAATGATGATAACATCTTTGACAGAAAGCATATCAAACACACTTTTCCAAAGTTTGGGCCTTTTCCCATTTATTTTGCAGTAATGTTTCTCGCTTTCCCAGCTTGTTTGAAGCTTGTCGGTGACAAAACGCGCAGAGTTTTCGCCTGCCAAGGGTAAAAAGTCATTTTGATCCAAAGGTCTTTGACTGCCCTTTCTAAAGACTCCGTTCATCCAACGAAAAAAAAGAGAAGATGCAAAACTAACTTCATTATCGTCATCACTGGAGATTTTCCTGTAACCACCTTTCGGTGCCATCACTTGAGACCCAAAAAATATCAAGAAAGTATTCTTATTTGTTCCTAGCCTGTTCAACGTAGCGGTCAAACGTCTAAGCCAGCATTTCCAGGGTTTCAGAACCAAGTTGTCATCTAAAGGTTATAAACACACTCACTAGTCAGGAAGTCATGGTTTTTTATAAAGACAGTACGACTTTTTATGTCTACTGCTTTGGAAGGCAGTAGACACCAACGTCATCGCACAAAGCCAAGTGCGTAGGAAGCACGTAAGAAGCGCGTGGTGTGAAGCACCTTACTTAGTTTCTTTTGGCAACTTCGCTTTCGTGGTTTATCACAGCTTTCGATTTGTTCGAAAATAACAGATATCAAATTCTTATATGCGACAGAATAAGCTTTCGAGTCAGCGATACATTAAATACACATTTCGTTTTTATGCTCGTGGCTTGCACATAAACAAAGAATTTTTCCGCTCAGTACCCACCACTTCAAACGCAAGGCTCTATCGGTGCATCTAGGCCCACACTTTTTAACCTATGATTACTATTACTAGTATTAAATAATTAGAAGGTTATTTTTCTAAGTAAAGTCAGTTTCGACAATTTTCAAAAAACACGCGAAAGCAGATAGTACCACGTCACCCTTCAGGGTGAAATGCACATTTGAACTAAACATTTCGTTAATTTGCTCGTGGCTTTCACATGTAAAAATAAATTTTCCACTCATTGCCCACACCCTCAAAGCCTATGGTTTCCAATTATTTTAAACCATGGGTTACTATTATTATGACTACTATTATATTAGTAGATAAGTTTCCTGAGCAAAGTTAGTTTGGACGAATCTCAAATCCACGCGAAAATAGATAATGCTATGTCACGCATAAGTGATTATTCAACTTCCTGGTGAAATGAACATTTAGGCCCAAAATGTCGTTTATTTGCCCGCGGCTTTCAGATTTAAAAATACATTTTCCGCCCATTGCCCACACGCTCAAAGAATATGGTTTCCAACCATTTTAACCTTCGGTTACTATTACTATGACTACTATTCAATTGGTAGATTAGTTTTCTAAGCAAAGTTACTTTTGGTGAGTTTCAAATCCAAGCAAAAGCAGATATGCCACGTCATGCATATTATTCAACTTCCTGGTGAAATGAACATTTTAGCTTAAAATTTCGTTTATTTGCTCATAGCCTTCAGATGATCAAGGGAATTTCTTACATTCTGGCAATTTTTCATCTGACAAACTAAAACAAAAGATGGTAAGTAAGACGAGGATAAGTTTCAAACATACAGTGTAGAAGTTGAGGAATTGCATGTGACTCTGCAAAAACTTCCAAACCGACTCTCACCAAGTTACTCAACATGAAAATCATGCACTCGTGTTCTTTCAATAAAAAAGCAAATAAATGCAAGACAATTAGCTAGATAAGCAAGAGTCAGTCATCATCCTTAATGACTGTAATTTTAACCTCCATTAACCGGCCACCTCTAGAAACGTTCGTGGTTTGTATGGTTCTCCACCTGTATCAAACGGTCACTTGAAGTGCAAATTCAAACCCCTTAAATAAAACTAAGAAGAATCTCTCAAGTAACACTAAATCGCCGTTTGTCTCCCATCATTTTGATGTCTGTTTCGTGAACAGATTATATGACACGATCAGTCCAGCGTGAACATTATTTATGTAATGAAAACAACACGCAATGTAAAAAAAGCGCGATCAGTGGCAGATTTAACTCCTTTTCGCAGTTGCTAGTTTGGTTACATATCGCTGGACTCGGTGATCAAATGATAAACTGCTCGTAATCGTGTGCGTAGCTCACTTATAAAGATTTTATATTCAATGTCAAACCGATGTTGAATGCGGAGCCTGCAAAGTTGGCTTGCTCTTGGTAAGTTTATCATCCTAAACATTTTTTTGAATAGCCCTCGCCATAGTAAAAATTACAGTCGCAGACATTAATCAGAGAAATTAATAAGCGCTTAAAGTGACTGGTCTTTGAGATGCTTGGTTTCTGGGTTTGTGCATTGAATACACTTCACTCTCAAAATGCATCCCAGCACTGGTTAGTGAATTGATACCGATGGTATGACGGGGAAACCTTAGGAAAAGCGTTAGGTCAGTTATAATTGCTCCCATGAAAAGCAATGATACCTCAGAATAAAGGGAAACGTCGAGAGGCTCATGTCACTTTTGAGGAACGTTTTTGTTCTAAATTATTCTGATGCGAGGTTAAGAGTCCCAATAAGTGAGAGTCAAGCTAAGTGCGATTGAAATTAAGGTCCAGCTTACTATACTCCAAGAAAATTATGGACAGGGCTTCAGAATTTTAATGAATGATTAGTCAAACTTATTTAGAACGAAAGAATCTATGTTGCGGAACTATTCAGATAACAACTGAAGTCGCAAATTTGAATATCAAAAGTGAACCATTCATTAAACCACAGGCCGACAACCCTGAGGGTTTGTGGCCGCGTGACGTCACTTAATTGATACGCTTGTTGAACTCTTACGTTGTTTTTAATTTTCAACGGTCGATCTCGGCAAGACGCAAGTGATCCCGAGAAATGTTTCATAAATATCGCAAATCGTAACATTTCATCCCCAAAATCCGCCTAATGACAGTAAGACTAAAAAGTTCTTATCTCCGTTCTTCTGTGTTGTCTCGAGTGATTTTGCGAGGTTTTGGCACGGTTAATTCCCCAGTTTGCATCAGTGCATAGTGGGAATTCCATCAGTGTCATAGCGTTTTCGAAATGCTCCGTTTTCGACTTGTTATCTGTCCTCAGAGTTTTAAAATTTATTTAGAAAATGCACTTTCAAAACTTTCAAAACAAGTTCCCTTTCATTCAGTGTGTTGAAGACAGGGCCCTTAAGAAAATAAGGAGTCAATATAGTCAACACCAATTTTTTGATCCTCTTGTTTCAAAATACGACATCTGTCTTGTTACACAGGAACATTGATTTTTTTCCTGTACTTAGAAATCTCTCAAAATCTCCTCGCTCGTGCAGTAGGCGTGGCTTGCAAATATCAAGGAACGGCAATATTACCGGTATCTTAGCGAATTCCTGTATAATGAGACAAAGTTGCAAGGTAAGCTACATAGAGTTGCAGCTTCCTCAAATTTTTATTGCACAGCCACTTGCAAACTTTATACCTTTTACACGAAATTGACAGTAGGATTCCATCCATAGAGATTGTAACTACACGGCCGATAACAGCTCTGTTGACATTTTGCGTCTTGCATATGTATCGTTTTGCTAAAAGCTTTAATTGAGTAGGCTAGATCACGGGAGATGTTATGCTAAAAGGCAGACTGCAGACTGCAGACCGTGCAAACTGCGCAGACCGTGCAGACCGTGGAGACTGCGCAGACCGTGCAGACCGTGGAGACTGCGCTTTGTCCGCTCGAGAATTTCGAATGTGACACTTCGCGAGACACAGGTTCATTCATGACCTATCACGCAATCGACTTCGATAGGTATCTAATTTTTAAAGTATTATACATTTATTTTCAGTCTGAGAAAAAAATTACGTTTTCTCGCTTATGAAACTTTATTTTACGCCTAGGTGGAATTTAAACGACCGATGAAACTCATTCGGTTTTTGTGGCTTCTCAGGTCAAAAAGATCTCGTGTGTAATTGGTTACAATTATTGATTTAATTTTTGTGATTAATAAGTTTGTCATGTATGTGACGCGAAGGAAAGCGGGATGGCGAAAAATTGTGGAAATTCCTTTCGGAATGAAAGGTTGGTTCCACCCCGCTTCCTCAAATTATTGCAAGATGTTGTCTGATCGACACCCTTCGAGCACGAAGCTTATTCAGTGACGGGTATATATCCTGATAATTTACCATTTTGTTTTAGGCTATATAAAAGTCGTGAGGTTCTACAAAACACCGTGACTTATTGGATTTTATGTAAGTTTACAACTCTTAAAAAAGCAAGGTTGTTCTGCAATCCTGGAACAACACGCGCAGACATTTGACCATTGCGTTGAACATGCTAATGATGGCTAAGTATTTTGTAGGTCTCAAGTGATGACACCAAAAGGCGGTTACAGGAGAATCTCTGGTGATGACGATAATAAAGTCAGTTTTGCATCTTCTCTTTTTTTCCGTTGGATGAACGGAGTCTTTAAGAATGAAATTAAAATTAAAAATTAAATGACTTTTTACCCTTGTCAGATGAGAACTCTGGCCGTTTTGTCACCGACCAGCTTCGAAAAAGCTGGGAAAGCGAGAAACATCATTGCAAGGTGAATGGGAAAAGGCCCAAACTTTGGAAAAGCGTGTTTGATACGCTTTCTGCCAAAGATGTTATCATCATTTTGAAGGGGAATATATTGTCTGCAACATCTGTCCTTCTCTTTCCACTGTTTCTCGGGTATCTTCTTTCTAAGCTTATGTCAACTGAGGCAGAGAATACTTATCAGCTCTACGCCTGCGCATTAGCTATGTGTCTCAATGGTTTGATCGGTGGTCTTGGTATGCACCAGCGAAGCTACAGATGTGAAATATTGGGTATTAAAATAGGAAGCGCCCTGAGGGGACTGGTGTACCACAAGGTAGGCACGATCCTAGAGAGCGTTTTATGCATTTTTCGAAGGCTCAACTGATTTTTCTAATATCCTAAACACCCAAATTAAGCCGCGCAAACTTGAACACATTTATCTATCCGATAAAGAATTATTTTTTCTAGAAATCTGATCGATCGGCTTATGCCACGTGGAGACCTGGGAGGAGACGGTTATTAAACATCATCGCTAGTTGCTGCTTCTGCGAGAGCAAGCAATCCTGCTAACCAACAAAAGAATCGAAGAAACAAACAGTTATTTAGCCTGTGGTTAACGTGGAAGTAGGCTACAGAAACCATAACGTACACGGCCGCGCTTCTGAACGAGATTCAAAATGGCACCGGGGTTGTCGCTCTTTTTACACATTATTTTAAAGATAATTCGGTAGAGGTTTGGTTACTCTCGTCTCGAAACAAAGTCATTGTTATGCAGAAGATTAAAATCAGATCTTTTATGGAACATACTTCTTCTTTAATGTCTAATCTGTACTCTCTTTCAGACGCTTCTACTCAGCAAGCAAACGTTACTGAGATTCACTGCAGGACGCTTATTTGACCTGATATCCAATGATGTAAAAAGAATGGAGGAAGACACAGTCAAGTTTATTGTCTTAGCCGTTTTCGCAGTCCCTGCTTATGCTGGGGCAATATTCCTTATCTATTATTTCATTGGTTGGCAGGCTGTTACGGGTGTGTTCCTCCTGTGTATTCTCATGCCATACGCTGCCGTCTTGTCCTATGCTAATGGTAAGCTGCGCTTGCGCACAGCTACAGTGTCGGATCAGCGAATCTCCCCAACGAATCAAGTAGTTTCCGGGATCCGCGCGGTCAAAATGCATGCGTGGGAGGACGAATATGGACGAGAGATAAAACGTGTAAGAAGGTAAGGTAAATTATCATCTTTAATCATAAGTAGGCTTAAAAAACTAGGTTCATTCATTCCCGTAATTGTTGACCCAAATTATTCAAAACTGGGAAATAGATACAGTAATTGCTCTGTGCGGTTTTCTTCCTTCTGATAGGATGTCAACAGACCCATAATATGAACGGTCAATCAACAAGATCGCGTGACGCGGAAATTTCACGATTAGTCAAAACCGTAACAAATTTATGGAATGTGATTGTTATCACCAGCCCGATATAAGCACTAATAGGACAGTGTAAGTGTCATGCTTGTAATTGGACAGTGTAATATATAGGACAGTTGAGAAGTCATGCCTGCGTGTAAGTGTATGCGCGCGCTGTTGCTGCGAAGTTCGCCGAGTTTTTTTTTTGAAAATGTATAACTGTCGTCTAATTTTGTCACAGTTTTGATCAATTGGTAAGAGATCTAGACCGTCATGTCGTCCAATTCTGTCATTAATAATAATCGTAGTTTAACAAATCAGACATCCTGCTTCGCAGTCATCCGCTTTTGTTAATTACTCTTATGATTACTGACCGAATTGGACTCCATTATGAGTTTAACAGGAAATACAGACAAGTGCCGGAGATATTTATCTATTGGATGATCCACTGAGTGCTGTCGATTTTAAAGCACATGGCATCAAATATCTACTAGGCGATGATCAAGTGATTGTGTTGTGTTGTACAAAGGGCGTGCCACTCGTCTTCTCCTTCTGATAATTGTTGTACTTAGGATAAGAGATGTAGTTGTGATAGTGAACAATTAAGATTTGGTCTTTTTTCGGAGAATTCACCATTTTTAATGGGAAGGTATCCATACGTTAACAAACTCGGCTCTAGCGGCTCTCACTTCACCTCGACGAATGAAGCATACCTAAGATTGAGATATGGCTACGGAAGTGATCTTTCGGACAGTTAGCTAGAAGCTTACGGATGTTTCTTGGAGAGTAATATCTTTTTAAGGGAGTGGGGTGTCGGGCGGGATTTGTTGAAGGGCTCCGTTACATTGTCAGGCCGAAGGAGACACTGGTCTCCTGATTGGTAAGAAAACTTCATGTCGTCCAATTCTGTTTTTAATCATACTCGTGATTAAAAAAAAACCAGACTCCCGCCTTGCAGTTGCCCGCTATTGTTAATAACTCGTATGATTACGGACCGAATTGGAATCCACTCAGTGCTATTACCAATATGAGTTTAACAGGAAATACAGACAAGTGCCACTCGTGTTCTCCTTCTGATAAATGTTATACTTAGTTTACAAGATTTAGTTGTGATAGTGAACAATTAAAAATTATTTTTTTTGAGCGGGGGAACTTATCATTTTTAGTGGAAAAGTACCCATATCGTTAACAAACTCGGCTCGAGCGGCTCTCACTTCATCTGGACGAATGGAGCATACCTAAGACTGAGATGTGGTTACGGAAGTGATCTTTCGAATATTTAGCAAGAAGCTTGTGGATGTTTCTTGGAGAGTAATATCTTTTTGAGAGGGTGGGGTGTCGGGCGGAATTTCTTGAAAGACTCCGTTACATTTTCAGGCCGAAGGAGACACTGGTCTCTCTTCAATGTGTAGACCTAATCTCCTTATAGCATTTTTTGGAGTGATTGTCGGAAAAAAAACAGTCTGCTAACAAGCCAATAGGAACAAAAGAAAAGATCACAGGTAGTGACATAGGACTTAACATAAAAACAAGGAAACGGCATTGAAAGCTGGAAAACGCGCACGACCAATAGGCGGTTGGCTCAACTAAAAAATCACTCCATTATTAAAACACATTGTGATAAAAACTCATCCCTTCAGATATGAAGATGTTCATAATCAGGCGTACATTATGGTGATGGCCAGCGGTAGGTGGCTCGGTGCACGTTTGGATTGTCTCGCTTCCTTGTTAGTCGGTGCAGTTGCTCTGGCTGCAATCTTGGTATCTCAAGATGCCCGTAAGCTCAAGATTCTAAGTAACGTTTTTAGTTTTTCTATGTAAAGTAAGAATTTATATAGTCGTGTATTAACACAGCATGAACTAATGAATAATAAAATAAGTGTGAAAATACGTGCACTCTTATTATCAAAGGCTGGTTTCTAAACACGACAGAAACGTGAGTCTCTCTGGTAGCTTAACTGCTAAGCAAATGTTAAAGTGTCTTTCATGATTCAGAACTGGAAACTTGGGTTGATAACTCCTCTGTACCTACTTAGCTTGGAGTTTAAACAACAACACTAAGAGAGACGTAAAAAATACGCTTTATTTACTCCCTCCTATTAAGTGACTCCCCGGACCAGGCCAAGTAACCTAGCCTTGTTAAGTTTTCGTTATATGTTTTGAGCCATCAAGAGAAAACTAGTCCGGAATTTATAAATTCAAGGTCCAATTTTTTTTCAGCTTACGCTAGTCTCGCTCTTGTTTACGTCATCCAAACTCTGGCCATGACTCAATACGCTGTTAGAAAAACCTCTGAAGTAGAAAACTACATGACGTCAGTTTAACGAGTTATGACCTACACCAAACTTGACCGGGAGCCTAAATACGAGGAAGAACGAACACCCCCGCAAGAATGGCCTTGGAGAGGAAGTATTGTGATGAGAGATGTATCACTGACCTACTATCCGGGAGGACCTCAAGTGCTAAAAAACATCAATCTTAGCGTCAAAGGAGGAGCAAAGATCGGAGTTGTCGGCCGTACGGGAGCTGAGAAGTCATCTTTTGTAACAGCTCTTATGTGTATGCCTGATGCTGATGGAGAGATAATCATCGACGATGTTCCAATTAAAGACATAGGACTCCAACAAGCTCGAAGAGGTATCTCAGTTCTTAGCCAAAGTCCTGTTCTTTTTAGTGGATCACTGAGAAAAAATCTCGACATTTTAGACAAGTTTCAAGATGCTGATTTATGGCAGGCTTTAGAAGATGTGCAACTGAAAGATTTTTTCGAGACACTTGAGGCCAAGCTGGATCACGAACTGCTGGAACATGGCGCTAATGTCAGTGTGGGAGAGCGGCAGTTAATTTGTTTGGCTCTTGTGCTGCTACAGCGAAGTAAAATCGTCGTCTTGGACGAGCCAACTGCGCATGTAGACCCAGACACAGAGCAGACGATCTGGAATGTAGTGCGGGACAAACTGGAGGAGTCCACCGTCATCACTATATAGCTCACCGTTTGAACACGATAAAAGACTGCAAGAAGATTTTGGTCTTGAAAGATGGACAAGTTAAAGGATTTGACAAATTTGATTCAATAATGAACTTGAAGTGAGATGCCGTCTAATGTTGAAAATACCTCGAATGTCACGCAGGTCTGATCCTGCAGAGCTCAAGATATTGTTCAGTTGATGTTATTGCTCAGTTTTGGCTCTTTTATACTACTACGCATCTCTCATTTTGCAACGTTTTGCAACGTTCATTTTGCAGTGCATCTGTTCAGTAATAGATCACACATGAAGTCATTATGTGGTAAGAACAGAAAAACCTGCAAACTAGGCGCAGGCGAGTGTGTCACTCGTGTTCCTATTGCTGTATGGCGTCCTCTGTGATCTTTTAATGAACAGACCCACCGTAACGTAGATTGCATATGCTTTATGTAATAAACAAAGCAAATTTTTTCTTCTATTGATGTCACTTATCCATCTGTCCCCCAACTGATCATAAGTAAAAAACCAATGGAGATGCCCTGGGAAAGACATACGAGCACCACATACCACTCAACACAGTGCACACAAGAAAGAAGATAACAGTTTATTTAGAAATTGGAAACTGCTATCACACATTCAGTTGTCCTGACAACTGGGCACGCTAACATATTTTTTGCGATGGTAATCCCAGCGTTTTACCATAGTGTAGAGATCATATACTTTCCCTTTGGTAACTTATTTAAAACATCTCTAGACAATTAAAATCGTATAAGATTTTCCTTCTCACTTCCCACCTTTTAAAAAATGATCTTTCGCATGCGCCATACTTTCTCATGTTACGTATTCAGTGGCTTTGGTGTTAGCATTTCTCTCGGCTGAGAATGAAAATCGACAACTGGAAGATTTGTCACTGGCCGATATTGGCCGTTTACCTGAAAGACTTCTTCTGTCGGTAAGGACAAAGTCAATAAATGAGAATTTTTTTAAATTGAAAATTACAACCATTGTTGTTTTTGTAATCATGATTCAACGCTTTTTTTTCATCTTAAGAGCTAGCGCCAACGCACTCAACGATTGTTATTCGGGGATTGTCGATTCATTCAATTTCGTTCATTAAGTTTCATTAAGTTTCGACAAAATTCGTGACAATTTCCATTAAAGTCCAATACTTGTACAGTTCTCTGATAAATACATCAATAGTAAAAGTCGATTGCCTTTGGGATTCCAGTTGTGTTTTAGAAAAAGTATGGGGTTTGACACTAAACAATCTCTCCCGAAAGTTCCTATTTTCATCTAAAAAACATCAAGCAAAACCACGAAATAGTTTTCAAAGATCATCTCACCATTAATTTGCATCATTTTGTTGACGACAGCGCCGATGCATGACATGACGCTGTTTGCTCTCGCATGGATTTGAGACCCGTCTGACTTTCTTCACAAAACGAATCTATCTACGGTCGAACCTGTATTGAGCGGTTACCCTGTATTTAGTGGTCGATTTCCATAGCCCAGAAAATTTTCCCCCTTAATGACTGTAATTTTAATCTCCATTAACCGGCCACCTCAATAGAAGTGTTCGTGGTTACACTGAGGTCCCAAAGGACTTTTTGTAGTTCCCAAACTGTATCAAACGGTCACTTGTAGTGCAAATTGCAACCTTTGAAATAAAACTGAAAAAATCTCTGAAGTAAACTTGAATCCACGATTATCTCCCCTAATCAATGTCAACAAAGTGGTCTATTGTGGCATCATATTTTATCGTTTTTTTAGTTTTCCATAATGCTTCTATTCTGTGAAAGCTGTATTCAGTGGTCAACCTGCAGTTGTAAGCGTTAACCCCGTTATTACCCGTGGGTAACCACAAAATACTGGTTCGACTCAGTATCTTAAATTGCGAATTCACTGCGTTAATGTTTTATGGAAGTATACAAGCTGTATTTTGATAACTGTTTCGTAAACGGATAACATGACACGATCCGTGAAGCGTGAGCTGTAAACAACACGCAATGTAAAAAAAAGGCAATCAGTAAATGAATCAACCCTTTTCCACAATTGCTGGTTTGGTTACATACAGCTGAACTCAGTGATCAAATGATAAATTGCTCGTAATCGTGTACGTAGCTCACTTGTAAAGATTTTATGTTCAATATCAAACCGACATTAAGGTCATAAATTCATTCGTTTCTTCATTCAACCGCAAATAATTAAAACATTACTATCATTTATATCATAGCAAGCGAAGAGAGATCTCTTAAACGCATCCAAGGTTAAATGCGGAGCCTACAAGCTTGGCTTGCTCTTGGTAAGTTTATCATAGTCATTAACTCTTCGTTGAAGACCCCTCGCCATAATGAAAATTATCGTCGCAGGCATTAATCAAAGGAATGAATTAGCGCTTAAAATTACGGATCTTCAAGGTGATTGGTTTCTGTGTTTGTACACTGAATGCACTTCATACTTAAAATGCATCGCAGCAAAAGGGAGTACAATGACGTCTATGGTATGACGGAGAAACCTTAAGAAAAGCGTACGGTGAGTTATAATCGCTCCCATGGAAAGTAGTGATACGTCTGGAGGCTAATGTCACTTTTGAGGAACGTTTTTGTTGTAAATTATTCTTATGCGAGGTTAAGAGTCCCGGATCAGTGCAAGTCAAGCTAAGTGCGATTGAAATTAAGGTCCAGTTTACTCCACTCCACGAAAACTTTGAGCAGGACTTCAGACTTTTAGTGAACGATTTGTCAAACTTATATAGGACGAAAGAATCTATGGCGCGGAACCATTCAGATAACAACTGACGACGGGGAAACCTTAAGAAAAGCGTACGGTGAGTTATAATCGCTCCCACGGAAAGTACCGATACGTCTGAAGGCTTATGTCGCTTTTGAGGAACGTTTTTGTTTTAAATTACTCTTATACGAGGTTAAGAGTCCCTGATCAGTGCAAGTCAAGCTAAGTGCGATTGAAATTAAGGTCGAGTTTCCTCCACTCCAAGAAACCTTTGAGCAGGACTTCAGTCTTTTAATGAACGATTTCTAAAACTTATTTAGAACGAAAGAATCTATGGTGCGGAACCATGCAGATGACAACTGAAGTCGAAAATTTCAATATGATCCATTAATTAAAGTCATGTTGCGGTCCATTCTTCATTGGACAAAATTTTCAGACAACATTACCAATTTATTTCTAAACAAAAAAACGGAACGAATGTTTTCCACTCACACTACGACGGCGTCAGCGGCGGCAGACAGATTTGAATGGACATTAATCAAGAGCGCACCAAGAGCTTAGTCTTAAAAACCGTCAAAAAAATTGTCACAGCATTGATGTTGTCGTTTTTACTAGCTCGAAGAATTTGTCCACTAAAAAGCCATGTTCATTTTTGGAATCGCTTGACATTTCTAAACAATGACTCTAATACTCTTCAGAGGTTTTAAGGAACCATTTAGTGGCACTTTAATTTGGAGAAAATCTCCGACTGCCAGGCATTTAGCCCTTTCGAGACCGTGCCCGGCAGTCTGATCAGGAGCGTCGACAACCGAGTAATAATATTGTAGTGTGTACAAGCTCGAAGAAATTGTCCACTAAAAGACCAAGTTAATTTTTGGAATTCCGTAACATTTCTAAGCAAACATCTGATATTCCTAGGAAGTTTGAAAGAACCTTAATTTCGGTGGAAATTCTATGAAAAATTCTGCGACTGCCGGGCATTTCGTCTTCTTGGGACCGTGTCCGGCTACCAGCCATTTAGTCATAGCGTTTTCGAAAAGCTCCGTTTTCAACTTGTTTTCTTTCTTCAGAGTTTTAAAATTGATTTTGAAAATGCGCTCTCAAAACTTTCAGAACAAGTCCTTTTTTATTCAGCGTGGTGAAGACAGGGCTCTTGGGAAACTTTGTGATCCCTCGTTTCAAAATACGACATCTGTCTTATTGTACAGGAACATCGATCGTCTGGCGCTTTATTGGCTCGAGAATTTCGACTGTTACATTTCGTGACATACTGGTAAGTTCATTCATGACCTATCACGCAATCGACTTCGATAGGTATTCAATTTTTACCAGTATTGTGCTGTTATTTTAAGTCTGAAAAAAAAATTACATTTTCTTGCTTATGAAATTTTATTTTTCGCCTTGTTAAATGGAAGTCGAAAAAACTTGCTAAGAACTGGTTTTTGACTGGACGATAAGCAGTAATAAACAACAAACGAGTGCCTTTTTGATTTCTGCTCCCGCTTTTACGCCCTCAGATAGTTCCTGCTTCCCGCCCTCTCCCGCCCTCAATTCTCCCGCCCCCCTGTCCCCCTCATAGGTAACTGATTCTTCTGTCACCGTGTAAGATACTCTGTATTACCCAATAT